CGAAATTTTATTTTAAAAAGATTAATAAAAAGCCTCTTTAAAATTTCGAATTCTCACCTTTCTTTTTTAAATATAGACCATTGCATTCTGTTTTTAATGTAGAATTCTAGATAGTCTCTAACATTCTGAATTATCTGCTTAATGCAAAATTCTAGGCTCTTTTCAACATAGAATTTTGTGTGTGTGTGTGTTAAATATTTCTTTCTTTAAAAGCTATTAATTCATTAAAATGTACTCATTAAAATTCCGCTCTTTTATCCTTTTTTTTTTGCTTTGAAAAAGGAAACACATTTGCAAATTCCAAAGATAGCAACTAAGCAAATTTTAAATAAATTTAAATTGTGATGAAAAATATTACTATGAAATTAAATAAGCTTTTAATGTTTCTATACAAAGAACCAGAAGAAAAATTGCACAGGGACAACAATTCATTATAATTTATGAATATATTGCGCTCGAACGTTAAGTCATTGAATGCAAAAGCAAAAATTAAAATAATTGACATTAGCGCATGAAATACAAATAATATTTAAGCATCAAATATGTCACAACTAATTTCTGCGCAATAATCCATTAATCCATTAAAATTAAAAATATTTTATATTCAATTATATCTTTTATATGCAAAAAAAAAACAAACAAAATCAGATTGTGGCATGCTGGTATGGGTGACAAGATAGCACTATTGTTATAATGAGTATGAAAAAATTATAAGAAATAAATACCCATACAAACACTGGTTAAATCGCTAGTGAGTCATTTTCGAGTCTGAAAATATTCATATTTTAGCCAAATTTTTGATTATACAACAATTTTGTTCTGTTTATTAAGAAATAGTATAAGTAATAAGATACATTCAATAAATGTTGATGGAAAAACATTATGGCATGCATTTGTTTTAAACCAATTCAATGAAAATAAAATTTTCCCAGAACTGATAGTTTCCTTAGACAATATCATCTGAATAACGATAATGTTGCACTATTGCGACAGTAATTGCGACAACAATAAAGTATCCCTGTTAGGTATTTGAATAATTGCAAAAATGTGAAAAAAAAAAAGTTTTTTTCGCCTTCTGTATATTTATCATAAACTGATGACAACATATGATATTGTTTTCAAATATTTCTTTATAAAATAATTTTTTGTGTATAAAAGAGAAGAAAAAAGAATTGAATACTGCAGATTTGTTCAAGAAAACGAAATTATATTAAATAATCTTTAAGAAATTTTTGAAAATAAAAGATGAAATTATGCGATAAAATAAATTCATTAAAAATAATAAAAATAACACCAACAATTAACAGCGAAGCAAATGCCGGTTGGTAAGTAATAGGGATCCAATGTAGCACAGTTGAAAATAATTTTTATAAGAAATGCAAGAATGTTTTATGTTGCAATGTTTTACATGACATGTTTAAAGGCAGAAAATTTCTTATGTAAAGCCAAAAATGAAATATTTGAAAAAGAAGAAAAAGTTGAAAATGAATATTTAAAATTGTTAATTCATGTAGAATATTATTTAAGAAATCAGCAAAATGAATATCGGGAACTGGAAAATATTTCAGACCAAGAAAGAAATATACTCTTATGTGTATTGCAGTTGAAAAAAATATTACTTTGGATGCGGTTTATTGATCTCGGGAAAATTTATTGGATGTAGATGTAAATGGGGAATATAATATATTTCCTTTGTTAACAAAAGCAACAGTACAAGTCGAGGAGATCCTTTTTGGTCGTCGTTGTACCTTTTTTCCGCAACATATGTATATGTTATTGAAGCGGAGTAGTGGTGATGAATTCTTTGTTAGACTTTAAGAATAATCACAGTCATAATCTAAACAAAGGGGGAGGTAATTTAAGGTCTCAATATATATATATATATAGAGAGAGAGAGAGAGTTTACGGTAGTGACGAAAAAAATAACGGTAGAAACATAAGGAAACCATGTATAAAGGGTTACAATATGAACCTAGGGTTGTGACAAAGATTTTAATGCTTAAGTATTACTTGTAAAGGAACATGTTTCTACCGTTATTTTCTATTCTCATACTTTTATTTTTAGAATTTCGCGACATTAAAAATCCGCTACACTCCCTCTCCATCCCCCAACGAGAACAGTAGATTTCGGATGGGAGGACTTGAATTATTCGCATTTTGTTGTTGTTTTAATCTTGCAATTACTAGTTCGTTGAGCTACCTCTTGTTCATCAGTTTCATTTATAGTATATTTCGATGTGGTTTGTCGTTTGATAAGAATTCCCTAACGGTCATTGAGGCATTACTAAAGATGGTTTTCGTTTCTTGATATTTGAGTAGAGCTTTGTCGGTACACTTAGTTGATACTGTAATGTTATCAACATAAAGATTTTTCTAATCTCGTTGACGTAATTAGGTGATTACTCCAAATGGACTCATTTAAATCGATAATGTTCAATATTATGTTCTGTTACTTTTGTCCCTTTGTGTCATTTAACCAAAGGAATCGTCTGCAATAACTCAAATTGTAAAAAGCTTTGTCATTGTCTGCTACTATTACAGTTTCCATTATTCGGGAACGAAGCAGTACTGCTACTAAATCGGCAAGAGTTATGGATCCTCGAAATATTCTTTCTATTATCATTCAGAACATTTCTTCCTTTTGGTGTAGTTGCATTATAGACGACTCTAAGTTTGATTGTAGCATTGTTTTGAATTATAACTTCATGTTGAGATAGGTAATGAATAATACCAACCTGGTCCACCTCTGTATATACTTTCATATCTTCTCGATAATGTATGTGACATGTAACTGATCGCCAATCGTTTCGTCATGTTTGAGAAGTAAACGATCATCTTTCTGAAATCGTTTAATTAAAGATCTTAGACGATCAAAACACAATCCGAAATTGTCGTTCAACCTGATTCTGGATTCTTTCCATCCATCACCAAGCAACTTGGTATTTGCCATTGTTTTTTTGTGATATTTTCTTTGAACCTTTCTAAAACTTATTCTTCACCATGTAGATTAAGTTGTTTTTGTATTTCTATAAATTCCAACTTCCAGAATCGACCAATCTCTCGAGTATCAATATTATTAGGTGTAACGGTAATTTGATCTTCATTCTGAACGGAACGACATGTGCTACGTGTTACTATTTTGTTGAAACTCTTACTACACTGGTGATTACTATGTCTAACATCCGCTTCCACCAATCATAAGGCCTAGCGATATTATGGTGACGTTTTGAATAGAAGCATACACATTTACTTGTCTTGCAATTGATTGTCGTATGTCCTGGTTGAAGACAGTTTAAATAGGCGTTGTTTTCTTTCAGTCGTTGCATTCTTCGTTCTAGATTAGGATAGGTTTGACATTCATTATCCAAGTGGTTCTTATTGCAAAAAGCACAAGGTCTTTGGATTTTGCTAATCTTCGTATTATCCTTTCTATGTGTTTGCGGTGTCGTTATAATTAGAACCGAAGTTTCGTACTGTGAAATATCGTTCATTAATTCGTAGACCAATTTTACTTTTAGATACTTTTTGCTTTTTATGGTGTCAATGGCTTCTTGTAACTCCTTCTTTTCTTTGAATTTAGTTTTGCTAGAAATTGTCATAGCTTAGCTAATGACAGTATTTCTTGTTCCTCCTTTTGCAGATATACTCTGTCAGAATGCAGACGGGCATTAATTTTAAACTAATATCTAGGAAATATTTTCAATGATAATTTCAATACTAATTCATCAATCCCTTCAAACAGAAGCAATTGCAACAGCACTTTGTGAACCATTTCAGTCTCAAACTTCCAGAACAACTATCACCGAAGTTTAGTCAACAAAGAAGAAAGTTAATTCTTAGCTCGTATATATTTGCTTGCGCATCTGACTTGGAATGCAATTAAATGAATACACTCATATTATGCAACTCAGCTACAATAAGATAAAGAAAAGTAAATTTGATATGGCAGTGATTTCTAGTTGTGATATTTATAAGGAGTCTTACAAATATCACATAAAAGTCATCAAATATTCTCACAGATCTGTCCACACAATTAAATTTCAAAATATTTCAGAAATTAGTTCATCTTAAGTCCTTTACATTTATCATACCATTGTATTTAAGGTAACTATTACAGTTCGTTTCCGAGAATATGGTGTTACACATTGGATATTTATCAATAAAATCAACCATGAAAATAATATTTCTTGTAAAGATTTCTTATCATTTCAGTAAATTATGGCAAAAAAATTGATAAATGAAATGTATTTTGCTGATTCTTTAATTATTTTTTTTTAGTAAATACTAAGAAAAAACACGAAAACTTTTGTTTAAATGAGAATAATTTTGTTTTCCTTCAATAATTTACTCACGAAAACAATTCGTGCCGCATAAATATGAGTAAATATTTTTATTGAACTTAAATTTCCAATAAACCAGCTTTGCATGTTCTAATGCTGTTATAATAATTTAGATGAGATATGTTAAGATTTGAATGGAACTTAAAGATGAATGAATTGCTAACGGATCACCGACAACGATACAGCATTTACACTTCTTTGGAAAACAAATAATATAGCCATGATTAGTTAAGAGCCCAATTGAAAATATTTGTCGTTGATTAATGAAATAACCGTAAATTATCAAAAAAATAAAAATTTTTGAACTACAAGTTTTATTGAATGTTTTATTACAAATCTTTAACTGAGTGCAATATTATTCAAAATTATTTTAAATCGTAGAATTTACTGTTTGTATTACTTCAAATTCAGATATTTTGTAATTTTGTGAAAACGAGTGAATGCTTTTGATGTCTAATAGCTCAACTATATATTTCTTTACTTAATTGACTTAATTGTAATTGAGGATGTTATACTTTATGTTTTCATCTTTTTAATATAGTAGTTATATGGTGGTCTCATATATTCTAAAACTTCACACCACAAATCGCTTAAAAAAACTAACAAGAAATATTTATTTTATAAAATTGATCAGAAAATTTATCTCATCCTTTTATATCAATGGATCTTGTTAGCGAAGTAACAACTCAAAGTGCAAAACATATTGTATATAAGGAAGGAGCATTGCTATCATTAATAAGCTATGTTTTGCGCACTTATGCTTATTTGGTTATTGGTACAGTACTCGCACTGGTCAATATACCCATCTTTTTCCTTGTGGTAACTCGTAAAACACTAAGGTTAACCGATTTATTTCTTAATAGAAATTTAAGAAAATAGCATCGAACATAGTTTAATAAACAGTTTTATTGGAAAATTTTTGCAATAAGAAAAAAAAAAAAAAAAAACAAACAAATTATTACTTCAACTATGGTTAAATCACTCGGAAATAATATGAAAGAGTTGAAATATTTAGGAACACCTATTTAGTTCTTGCATTTGTATTCCTCAATAATGGATTTACCGGAATCAGTTCGATATTACTGGGAATGAAACGATTAATTGATACTGCTAGTGGAGAACGGAGTATTGATCATCACCACTGTGTGTTGAATGTTCGTTAATTTTTGTTTCTATTATCTGGATAAATAATAAATGCAAGCAACTATTTAGTACTTTAATCAATAATTAATTAAGGAACAAAATTTCAGGTGCCTCTTCTTCTTCTCACAGCTTATTCTTTAAATGGATTAAGTTTGTTAATGAACAGTATGGAAAGGTTTTCTGTTGTAGCATTTCCAATATATTACTATACTCACAGTACACGAATATGTTATTCAGTAATTGCTGTCCAATATACGATTACTATCATTGCAATAACTACTACCACTGTAGCAAGTTTCATTGAACCAGCTCGACGTATATCTAATTTTTGTTTGTAAGTGACGACAAGTAAATTACTTTGAACAAATGGACATTCTGTTACTAAATATATGTTTTTTTTTACCGATTACTAGCTATCATAATGAGATATTTTGCAAAATAAGTTATGATTTTTTTAATTTTCAAAATTAACAACATAACTAACTCTTGCAGATTACAAAGTGTATATTCGCCCATTTTTTATAAAGCATTGATACTAATGACCTCTACTACTTCATTGCTGAGTATTGCTTTTATGGTCACCATAGTTGTCATCCTGAAAAGGTATGGCTTTAAAAATTTGTCACACTAAGTCTTCACTTAGATGAGCATAAAATTTATGAGAATATGTAAGACAAAACATAGCACAGACTTCTATAATTATTTCTGTAAGTTATCGTTTTTTCAACAGAAAAAAAATTCAAAATGTGACAGAAATTTTAATCACAACGTTATTACTTTTAGGAAGTTTGGCGCAAAATTCCTTTCAAGTCATTCGCATAACCGCGATTTATCGCAGTTTCTCAAAAATCAAAAACGATACACTCAAACAGCATTGATCTCTTGCTGTTTCACATTTTGTATGTTCTTTCTCTGCAAACGATTCTGATGAAAGCTAAGTTTCTTCAATAATAATGAAACAGAAATAAGTTTTCGTTGTGGTGTAACTTTGTGGTTAAACTATGCTTAAGCAGTATTTGTTTGATAATGAGACTTACGGACGATTGTTTTTTATATGTATTTTTAATTCTGTAATTCGAATTTTTATCTTATTGCAGTCCTTGCTGTGGTACCATCAATGGTGCAATATATTTACATATTGGATCCTACGTCAAGATCACGCACCATTGTGATCGCTTGCGTATATTTACCATTCCTGAATTCCTTCAACATGATAACCTTATTCATATGGCGTCAAGGCGATTTTCGGCGTGCAACAATTTACAGTTTGAAATGGCTATTCTGTGGACGGAAGCATCAGATTCAACCGACCACTGTTGTGGAGTTTTGAGAATGAAGAAATTAGGCCATTTTTTTCAATAGTTGATTGGGATTATTTTTTGACCTAATCGCTTTTTGTTTCTACGGCAATTTTTATTTTATAAATGTTTCTAATTTCTTAATGAAAAAAAATTTTGATTGATAATTGACCTTTAAAACTGCATGTTATAACTCTGATGACAATTTCGAATGTTTTATTTGAATTATTATAAAGTTATCAAATTTAGTACATAAAACCTCAGCAAGTCAATTATATAATCAGTTATATAACTAATCACTGTAGATAGAAAATATAACCGAAAGGAACAATGTTCTCACTATCGAAATAAAGTATTAGCATTTAGCTTTCATCAATGTTAACCAACTATGCAAACCAATTTTGAGGTAAATGATCTATAGACTACAAAAGGCGTAAACCAGTGTGTTTATATTTCATAGCAGAAATTTCAATGCAGTCTGTTGCTTTTTTCTGTTACGATTTAAACATATAGCGATCAAAAAGGCAAAAGTCTTTATTTCAACCAATTATGGTGAAACTTGTAGCTTGGAGTCGAATTGGACTTACATATGTTCCAAGTGCTTTCCTTGATTGTTTTTGTAGTTGGTACGAATGCGCTCATTTAAACTTTTTTTATAACAATTTTATTCGCTAACAACCATAATACATAACAACAGTGCACTGATAATTTTGTAGAGTATCTACAAATACGACAAAGGAAATGTCGCGAAATTCTAATCCCGCGAACCTCCAAATAACTTCCAAATTATATCAAATAAAATTGTATTAATCCATAATACTAAAATTCGTTGTAATTGAACGTTAGAAATGTAAAACTGTTCCAAATTATACATCACGTAAGCAGTTATTATTTCAACACTCACCTTCCATTGTAGTTGAGCTTATCTGCTTGTCTATACGTTTTCAACTGATAACAAAGGGTATGTGCATTGTTTAACATGTAAAACTTACTTCTTTGTTCCAAATCAAATTTGCTTACAATGTCGAAAGATTGTATAGGTCTTCTAAACTGATAGTCATCCTTTGGGAGGAAGCTACAATATTAAAACCCATCTCTTACTATATTAAGAGATCAGCTGATAGCTTCTTACTCAATAATCATGCTCTTTTTGCAAGTCAATATCCATTATATAAGGATTCAAATCCTTTGTCTCAATCAGTTTTTACCAGTTTTTTCTTTATCAGTAAGCTACAATTCGGCTACTCTCCCTCACGCACAATTCAACTCATTTTCCTTCTCATTTATCCATTTTATCTCATTCGTAATTATCAATATTGTTGCTATAGTTATAGTTGCTTGCAAATAAAATGCAAATAAAGTTATAACAGACCTATCACTCAACGCATTCGTCTATACCAACTACAATAACAAACAAGGAAGGTTTATGAGCATACAGAAGTTCAATTCGACTCTAACTCACAAGTTATATACAGACTGAACTCCCATATTTCACGACAGGAAACGAATAAATTGACGAAAACTTAAAGGATTTAAATAAACTGAATTAAATGAGTGATAGAAAGCAGCCGAACCATAATTTGCTGATACAAAAATCTGACAGGACAGAGGATTTAAATCCTTAGATACAGTGGGCACTGACTTGCATTACATTGAGCAAAGAGCTGTGATGATCATTGCTCTATCTAGTAAGAGATGGACCTCTTTAAGGCTTAAACATTGTTAGTTTCTGATAAGAATGACCACTGGACTAGAAAACCACAAACAAGTTTGGTTTGGAACAAAGGGGAAATTTTTAAAATATTGAATAACGCACATGCTTTTTGTTAATGGTTGAAAAATTCTAGACAAGCAAATAAGCTCAACTACAGCGGGAGATGAGTGTTGGAATAATGTTTGTTTACATCATGCAATTTGAAACAGTTTTATATTTCTTTAAAGAATGTTCAATTAAGACGTTTTAGTATTATGAACTGACGCAATTTTATTTCATATATTTTGTAACTTATTTGGAAGTTTGCGAGACTCATTCCAAGTTTCATGACAGTCGCTAGGGTCAGTTTTAGCGACAGCAAGCTTCGATCCGACTTGTCTCAGTCCACGCTCCATTGAAATAATTTTTCACCTGCGGTTACTCCCAACCAAATTCTCTGTTATGAACTATCTGTAATATAATTTAATACTATTTAATAATGCATATAACATCGAGTAATAGAGTATTCGACGATTCGTTTGCATTATTTAACCATTTACAAGGATTTTATCATTAGCCAAACAAAATCCTTTTTTAAATTCCTTATATAATAGGCGCATGACTACAGTGAATAAAAAATCATTGTTGGGTGTTTTTTATCTTTTATAAAGTGAGAGTCGGTTTTTAACATTACGTCATTTGTCTACAAAAGTGATCATCAGATTGGAAGATCTCTATATTGCAAATTTATATTTTATAGCAGAAATTTGAATGCACTCTGTTGTTGCTTTTTTCTGTTACGACTTAGATATATGGTAATTTAATTTTAATATATTTTCATCTCTAATTTAAATATATATTTTTTTAAATTTTTTTTAAAAATTTAATTTAAATATATTTTCAGCAAACATCTCTAATTGAACTAATTACCACATATTATCCGTTCAAAAAACAAGTGAAAATGTTGTCATGCTTGATTTAAGTTCGTTAACAGAGTTATTCATGTTTGTGTATCATTGAAGTAACGTTGCTGTGATGAGGAAATATTTACACTGAATAAAAATGGCTTTATAGTTTATAAAAATTGTTGCATAGTTTTATTTTCAGGTATATTCGGCTATTTGAGTAGTCTCACAGCAGCCTACATCATTTCTGAAATCTACCAATTATTTCATATTATTAAATACGCATTCGCTTTATATGAAATATTAAAGTTTATTTTCGAAAGAAATTGTGTCACAAAATGAATTGGGTATCTTGAGCATCTTCATAACACTATTATAAGTTAGATGCTATTTAAGTTAAAGTGCCATTGAACAGACTCTTAAAAGTTGGTTATGCAAATTTCTCCAAAAAATCTAATTCAATCAAAAACTCTGATGGCGACCACAACACATTCATCTTCTCCCTTATAAAGGCAATCCGAAGTCGTCAGGAAATATTAATTCTTTAATTTCAAGTGCAAAATATTTGCGGAAACGAGTTGTCGATAATCCTATTCATGTTCACTTTTTATCAATACTTACACATCTAAATTCAAATTCAGATTTTTTAGTTTTGAAGTGTATAAAAAAATAATCAGTGTCTTCTTCTGCTAGTACTATTTACGTACTGTCTTACTGTAGTAAAATAAAAGTCTTGTTGCTGTTGTTTATTTAGCTAGATTTCTGAAATTTTCGAAATAATAGTAGCTAATAGAAGCTACAAATTATACATATTAGCATCTATTAACAGTCTTTACTCCTGAATGTATTGGGTACGATTCAAAAAAAAAAAAAAAAAATGATTCAGAAATGATTCAAATAAAATTCTAACAATCAAAAAGATCCTCCTTCCTCCTATTTCGTGCCTAAACAAAGTACATTTGAAACGACATCATCCATGCGTGTGTGAAGAAATATATTATCCATGCAGAAAAACATCATTCATGCAAAAATACATTATCCATCCAGAAGCTCTACAAAAATGCGTCATCTATGCAAAAAAAAGAAAAAAATTATCCATGCAGAAATATATTCCTGCAAAAGCACATTTATAAGTGAAAAACTACATACCCATACAAAATAGGTCATTCGTACAAAAATATATTATCCGTGTATTAATGTGCAAAAATACATTATTCGTATGGATATATACTTTTAATTCTAGTACAATAAATTTTATTTTGTTTTCTTTGCGTTTTTTTTTTTTTTTTTTTTTTCTGTTTCGATACATTTTGAAAATGAATATTTTTCAAGGATTTTATGTTATTCTTATAAATGAAACACAATTACGGTAATAAACCGCATTTTTGATATTATAATATTTGATCGAAAATGTAAATAATATTGAATTACAAGAAGTCATTAGCTTTTCCTCTATTTTATTTTATAAGTGAAACAAAATGCTTGTGAGATTTTTCAAAACTCCAAAATTTTTCTTAGCTTAATATTTAAATATGTATTAACCAAATTTAAATATTAGCCTGCCAGAAAATCAGAAGACTTTTCCATCTGCTCTTTTTAATTTTAAAATAATAGTTTCAGCTACTAGTTTTAATTTTTTTTAGCTAAAGTAAAAATAAGTACGAATAAAAAATTCTACCATAGTAAGACTTTATTGATCAATCGGATACGCTAAACGAATTTAATAAAATTATAAGGTAGAAATCAGGCTTAAAGAAGATGAAAAGAAATTATAAGAAGTTATGATAGATTAAACTTAATATTGATTAAATATTGTTTTCATTAAATCATTTTTTAGAGTGTGCACTGATATGCTGTCATTGATACAATTAGATATTTTCAAATACTATTTGCTTTATCATTAAAAAAAATTTACTGTACTTTCCACATCGTATTAATTAGCTTTATACACACACTTGTACCTCTTTTGTATATATATTATAATAAGTGGATTGTACCTCTTTTGTATATATTATAATAATTCACTTATAGAAATAATATTACCATTTTTGAACTATGAAAAAAAAATTTTTATTTCGATTTTTTTGTTCTCTCTGATTATTCTGCATTGAGAAATTTGCTTCCATTGAATATTTGTTTGCAATACCTATGAAGAAAAATGTGAAATTGAAAAATCTTACAAGTATTTTGCTTCTTAATAAAAGAAAAAGAAAAGCTCAAGGTCAGGAAAGAGTTTTAAAGCATTTTTAAGTTAAACTAACTTTTAAATCTTTTTTTCTAACTAGCAATTTCTTACAAAATTCCATAAAATTTCCATATCTCTGGACAATCATTCTCAGAAAATTTGCACTTTCCACGATATAAAGTATGCAAAAGTTGAGCGTTTCAGGTGCTTTTCTAAAACTTGACATCTTTTAGCTATCATAAAATAGAAATTCATATAAACTTTAGTAGTAAACTATACTTTTTTTTTTGAAATTTTTAATCAGATCAAAATTTTTAAAAACTTTACTTTTCTTAACTAACAAACATTAATTATTGTTAATGAATCTCTAAATTTAGTATTGCAATCTTGACCACCAAATGAGTCATTCCTATGAAGTTGTAACAATCATAACCTATAATTTGGGAATGAAAAAAAAAGTATAAAAAAATTTCCAGCAATTATGATTAGATAATACAACGTTAATAATGTAACAACGCCCTTTGATGTTATGTAAAATAATTTGATATCTTACTCAACGCAGAATAATAATAGTTCAGAATTAATCAACTTATCGGAGCTATTAGCATCTACAACTTAAATTTCTAAAAGTTTCACTATTAAAATAATTATAAGTATTATTACAAACAGAATTTGTATAAATTATCTAAGAGCTATTAATTTCCTCACTTTTCGTCATTTTCTTTTGAATAAACATATTCGTAAAAAGTTTTTCACTAAAGTTTCCCATGTTGCTTTTTCTGCTCTCTTAGATTTTTCTCATTTGGCATCAAAGAATTAATCATATTAAATGATTATAAATGAAAAAAATTTTCCTAATTTAACTAGCAATCGGTTTTCCTCACTGATGCACCAAATATAAAATGAACAAATTGGTATTAATGAAAATAAATCATGCGAAGGCCTTATAATATGCTCATATTCAAAACAGATATAACAAAACAGCTTAATGAAATAAAAAAAAAGTATATCATTTTTCAGAAGATTATTGCCTCGATTACTTTAATACATTAAACGGAATAGGTAGTTAGGAAAAGAATGAATGATTTAACTTATGAAAAAATGAAAAGTTTGCAATCTGAATAAAGCATTACCATAAAATAGTTAATTAAGATAGTTATGCTTTCTATATGTTGTTCAAGTGCAAAAATATCCAAAAAATTACTTATGGTAGGGTTTTTTTAAAATATTTTCTTCTAATTTGAAAATGATTTTTTACAGTCATAAAACTTTTCTGCATTTTTGAATCGAATTTTAATGAGTGATAATAATTTCGAATTTTGTCGGATAATTTCACATACTTGAAATTGAATTTTCGAAAAGAGATCACTGCAAAGAAAATTGCTTGCCATCTAAAATTAAATAGTGAATTGAGTTTCCTTTTGTATAATATCTAATTTATACTCAATTTCAATTAAATGATTATGACACTGAATTCAAACTTGAATACATGCGGTTTAATTATTATGGCATCATTACGTCAGTTGTTGAGTATTTTTTTTAATTTGAATTAAGATCTTAAAAGAGAAATTGTAATTTAAGTCTGGAAAATCTTGGTGCTTTCCATTGGCTCATAAATGTTCATTACCTGTTAAATAAATCACTCTCTAAATCTACATTTAATAGATGCATTAATAAATACTTTATATTTCTCGACACTTTTTTTCTAATATAATTTTTCCTTGAACTAATTTAATTTACAACTTTTTTCTCAGAAAATCTGTTATTACATTTATGTTTTGTTAATGCCCTCATACTGATTCTTTCTAAGCATAAAAATTAAATTTGCATTATTGTTTCAGAAAATCAGATGCATGCGATATGAGTTAGCTCTTTGTCTCAAATTAACTTGATAATAAAATTGATTTCAACAATTATCCATAAAATCTTGAATCAGTGCTATTGTTTTTCTTCGAAAAGATATGCCAACCAAAAGAGTAACATCAGTGTACTTTGATCAGTACTGAGCTATGCATTTTTTAAGTTTATCATTTCCGGATTTATCAAAAAATATAAATGCAATTGGCAGGCGATTTTTTAATATTAAGTTTTTTTTAATTTTAATCAACAGATAATTAACAGCAATGCTTCCAATAAGGTTAGAACAATGCAGAATTTGAAGATTTACGCAACAAAACATATACATAATTGTTTAAAATTCGTGCAATAACAAGATCATCTGTTATTTGTCTATCAAATATGTGAAACATATTTACTGTCTAAATTTTGTTTTGGTTTATTCTCCTGTAATAACTATTTCTTATTAACTGTTTGTGTAATTGGTTTAAGCAATTAGTAAATTTATCCGTATATTTATTTATTGTTTTCACAACTAATCAACAATTTCTATTTGTTAAAAAAATAAGTTCAAGGTTTACCTTTATCTAGATTTCATTTATAAAGCTGTTTAAAAATTCAGTTATTCAATCAAGTAATTTGCGATCTCAGTCGATCTGTTAAACTATTCTCAATGCTTTTTATTAACATCATTTTGTAAAGTCTGAGGTAATTATCACTTCAGCATTTAGTCGCTTAGTACACAAATATTTTTATAAAAGTTGCTGCTCAGAATTTGCTTATTTTCACTGTAATTTAATTTATTTTCTCATTTTTTTAAAACAAAAAAGCAAATTCTTATAATGCAATATTAATATATTTTTTTGAATGAAATCTTTTTTTTTAAAGCAAAAAGCAATTTAAATGGTTTTTATACAGTAAAGTGTGAAAAGAAAAAACAAAGGTGTGCGCTTTTCTTTTTTTCTAATTATCACTTATAGTTTTAATTAGCGTTTGATGAAAAACAAAAATTATGTCTGAAAATTGGTGCATACATTCATGCGTTGCTAGGAGAAAAAAATTGCAGACTTTATTACTTTTTAAATGAAATGATCAATCATAAAGAGCAGGTGAATCAAAACTTAAACTAGGAAATAGATATTTCCTTTAAATAAGTCTAACAAGAAATGCAAAAATAAACAAGTACATTTAGAGTAATTTGTAATTGAAAATATAATGCATTATCTAACTACATTTGAGTACAATTTTCCACATTCAAAGTGTAATTCACAATTAGAAATTGTATTGAAATGTGCAAAATAATGTTTCAATGCAAAAATTAGACTTTTATAACAAATAATTTATTCAATTACATTAACATTTATATGATTTTATTGCAAAATGACGCAACCAATAAATGCAATATATATGGATGCAAACGGATATTTATTCTATGTAGCAATGATTTGCTTTCGAAAATTTTTCAAATTTATATGACATTTGAAGTAAAATTTTGTTCTCAATTAATTATTCAGCAAAATAATCATTTATCATCAATTAGTGAAATGAACTCGATTACTATACCATCCATTAGTATTTAGCGTTGTTTCTTGTCTTTTTCCTTTTTTGTTTATTTTCGTTTTTTTCCATCTTTTCTAAAAATCAGTCGTAATAATTATTGAGAATGTTGTTTACTTTTAGTTATTTACTTATTTTTTGTCCTTTACTTAGTTCCTTTATGCTTTTATGCTAATTAAATAAATAATTTTCATTCTAATTTATTGTTGTTATAATTAAAAAATTATGTCTGAAATGATAAATTTAATTGTGTTGCTATGAGTTACGAAGCGGTGATTTTTTTCATGTAGAAAATGAACCAACAATTAAAAAGAATGAACAATTACATTTTATTTTAATATCTGCTTAAAAAGATATGAAAAGTTTGCATTCTACTTTACGTTTTCTTTTCAATGATTACTTAAGTTTCATATACCGATAAGTTAACATTTCATCCCAATTCTTCTACCATATTCATTCTTTTCACTCATTTTTTACGAAGTGATAACAGATCATTTCTTGTCAGGTATCTTTTTTATTTTTTTCATTAGTAGTAAAAGTTTAAATGAACAATCAAAAATTATTTTCAGAAATTTCATTTAAATAAATGGATCATAACACCGAACTTGCTAGCAACATATTTCTTCTCATTTTAAACATTTTACAAATCTTTGCAAACTTAATTGTGCTGCTAGCCTATTTCACTGATAATCAACTTTTGGCTAATGAAAATATCATCCTTCTTGTTTCTCTTGCTGCTATCGACCTTTTCTATTCCACATTATCAATACCGTATTTAACAGTATTAATTAGTGGATGGGTACCAAATGGTAAGTTGTATTGTCGTATATTATGCAATACTGTGCACTAGAAATTGTCGTACAATGCTTGATATCTTATCATTTTCAAACTTTTCCAATACATTGAAATAAACAGTTTTACAAGTTTTAATATTTTTCTGATGCTTGTTTTTAAAAAGTTTTATAGAAATGTTATTTAGCATACTGTAAAAGTGTACTGTATGTCAATTTCTGATACTGTGATTGCTGTATCAGAAATTGGTATACGGTACATCTTTTGACAAATAATTTCAAATAGGATTCAAATAATATGTACTTACTTGAGAATACGTTATGAAATATTTGCCAGTTATCTTTGATTTATAGACAATGGAAAAAAACATTGATTATATATATTATGCTAATAATTAATTGTTTCTGAAAATTATAACAAAAATATTGGAATTCTTTTCTTTTTTCCAATGTAATAGTTTATGTGAAGAAATGAATTACAGAAATTAGTGTTAATTAATTATATTAAGAAAAATTATTCAGGCACAGAATATCATTACAATCAGTATATCGTACTGGGTTTTGGTTCCAGTCCGGCTGCACTCATGAAAAGTGGTTGCACAATAACTACTTTAATCGCGATAGATCGAATTTGGGCATTATGGACTCCAATGAAATATTATGCTATGAATAAGAAACCGTAAATCTATGATAATAATTCTATATTGATATAATATATAGGATAATATATATATATATATATATTCGATAAGTTCGTAGTATTTCTTAATCATTTCAATTCATTCAAAATTTCATTAGCATTTTATATTATCTTATTTCAAAAAAAAAAAGTGATAATGCAAAACGATTAGGTAAAAATTTTGAGTAATCCTAAAGCAGTAATCATTCATTTAAAATATTAACATATTTATCAATTAACATTCACTATTGTTATTTCAAAAATTTCTTAAATTTCCAGCTTATTATGTGGCGGCTTTATATTTTCACTTTTAATGGCAGGATTTGATTTTTCATTAATATTTATTTTATCAAACGGTTTTAAACCGACATCCACTTGTAGCGCTTTTGCTTGCTTTACTTCTGAGGTATGTGATAAACTTCCAATAGTAATTGTAATATTAATATGAAACTATATATCATATTATCATTTTGAAAATGTTTAAAAGAGGAGATTTCAAGCAACTTTCCGACAATATTATTGTAAGTAATATTAACAAAACTATTTGCTATTGTAATTTCATTTTAGACATTTCGTACCTATTGGGGATTATCTAATATGGTTGTTAATTTACTATCATGTTTATTAACGATTGTTGTTGCAATGTTATTGAAAACAAGAAAAAAACAAAAAGTTCATGGTGCTGGAAATAATTCGTTAGTTCGAAAAAAAGAAGACAAATGGGTAAAAGAATTTTTCAAAAAAATTAGAAATATTTTAATAAAAATATATGCATACATTTTTTAAATCTATTCAAATTTGAAATTTTTTCTTTAAAAACTAATACTTAACAAAATAATACATCAAATATTACAGGCAAGCCGTGCATCATTTTATGTTCTCATCGTATCAGCAATATTTGGTGTTGTTCCAGGTGGAATAAATGGTTGCGCACAAAGAATTCAATCAAATGTAAATTTATTGTCCGACTAGCTAATCAATTAATTTTCATTAAATATCGAATATATATATATATATATATATATATATATATAAAATAAGTATAATGGTCAATAAAAAGAAAAAAGAAAGGAAAAGTAATAATGGTATATTTTAATCATCTTTTAGTAAAATGTGATATTACATATTAAAAAATGTCTTCCAAATATTTCTTAATCATTTCAGTTTATTAAAACATTAGCATTTTATATTCAATTATGCGCATCAATTAGTGGACTGTCACATGCATTCATTTTTGGAATGGCACATAGTCTTATTCGACGTCGAATCTTTGTAATGCTAAAATTAAACAAATACTGCACCGAGCAAGCACCAAGATTTTCTCAAAATTCGGTTTTTCCAATGACTAATTTAAATTAATTCATATAAACATTTTTACTTAAGCTTTTATGAAATAAACTTTTGTAATTTATTACACTCATTTACACTAACACTTGTTTTTCTAGTTTATAATATATCAGGTGTTTTATAGGCGATAGCAATAGTACCAATGATAATGATGATAATGTTCAATGTTTGTAAAGTAAGGAACGTTGAAATCCATTCATGCAAAATATTCCTCATAAAATAGATCAAATATCTGATTTAGTAAAAGTTTCATTTTTTAGAAAGAAAAGATCAAATTTTTGATTGAGCATGAGATTTTTCTGAAAAAAAAAACTGAATTTAAGAAATTAATTTAGATTAAATAATTAAAAACTTTAAAAGTGAACAATTATTGTTAAGGCATTTGAAAGCAATTTTATATCAGCCAACGGTATAAATGTATTGAAATAAATCTAACATGTATGATGATATCATTATTGATTGAATGTAATTTATTTGAATCATTCTTAAAGCCAAATATTCATTCATACTTAAATTGTATTTGTATTTGAATTGAAAATAAATAAATGAACATTTTCACAAGAAAGAAATAAATTTCTTAATGAAAATTTTAAATCTACAATGTGTGATATATGTAACAAAATTAATAATTTGGTGACATTTATAAATTACAAAGTTTGATGACATATAAAGTTTGCATACAGATAATAGTTATCTTATACAGCATCAATTCGTATTAAATATCACCATATTTGAAACAAAGTGCGAAAATATTTTTTATTTATACAAATATTTTATTATTTATGAATGTTTGAAAAACTCAACTGTAGCAGATTAAATTATGCCAGCATAAGTTAAAATAAGTTAAACTAAAATATCATAAAATTCTTTTGCACTGCTTCATCTGAATCATTATTGATTTAAACTACCTCTAATTTAGTAGAAAAAAACAGCCTTCAGATTACACACGGAAAAATGCATAATTTACAAGAAGTTATAATTATTACATATGAAGTAAAATAAGCAGTAATTTTTAGAGTTTTTCAAGAAGCTGGAAAAAATCTAATATTTGACTGAAATTTAATTGTACATTTTTGGCTACAAAAACAGTGATATAATTTAAACTGACAAAATTAAATGATTGAGCAGAATAATTGAATTTTTCTTCACTTTTATCATCAAAATGCGTAGTTCATAAATCACTCAGCTAACAAATAATACTTAGAAAAGAATACTGCTTATTACCGATTTCAGAATAACTAATTGCATTTTTGCACTTTTCTTTGCTTTGCATTTTTTTGCATATATTGTTCAAAATATGGTACGGTTTTACCATTCCTCTCAAAAAATTACTTTTAATTTTATAAACAATCGATAGTGAATAAATTTTTTCAAATTAATATCAAAACATAATGAAGTAGAATTATGATAAACAGTTCCTTTCTTTCTTTCATATTCTGAAATTAATGAATAATTACAGACTGAAATAAATATGACAGTGCTTTGAAACATTGGTAGTTGAATAGATTTCACTGTTCAATGATTGTTTATGAATTACTATGAATTATCCCGTACTCAAAGAAGAGCACTAACAAATCATCGCATTTATATTCTATTTTGTTGAGTTTACAACAGTAAACATTTCAAAAGTTTTTTCTCCCCACTCATTGTTCTCAATTCAAATAAAATAATAATATTGCGTGATTTTTTGTTATTATATAAATTGCAATTTGTATAAGAATTCATTCATTTTCTAAAAAGAGAAAAAAGTTTTCATACATTGATAAGAGCTAAAAGAATTGAAGTGAAAAAAAAAATTAATTCAAACTGTTCCAAACACAACTAAAATCAGTAGTGCATTTCACAATTATATCTGCTCAGTTCTTGCTAAACACAAATTTAAATATACATATATTTCTGCATTCTTCGATTTTTTGCTGATTTTCTAGATTTTTCTTTTCTATTTTATCTCCTTTTTGCCATTAAAAATAACTAGAAGGAAAAATTTGAAACTGAAAAATAGAACTGAAAATGAAATTATCACTGATATCTGTGCTACTCATTAAGATATGAAATTTCGCTTTAGTAATTACTTCGTAATTAGAGACTGAAGTAAGAATAATAGCTCGTTGAATCTTGGCCTCATAAATAATTAGCTCTAATAATTAATTTTTGGTAATATATGTTGGCAAAAAAAGGAATAAGTAAATATAGAAATAGAATTATACTGATTCTTTGAATATTTTTTTGATAAATTTTGTTGTGATTTAAGTTGAAAAACGTCATATACTTTGAGTTTCGTTTTTCATATATTATTAATAATTGTATTACTTTGAAACATTTTTTTTCGTTCATTTTCTCTATATGATATCGCAAAATATTTCGATTAGCCTATCATTAATACTTCTTTTGATTAAGAAAATTATGTTGTTAATTAAGAAATTCCCAAAAATATACAATTTTAATTTTTTGCTTAATTTAAAAGTAGTGAAGAAAATTTTACTCCCAAATTGATATCAATTTTTTTAATTTTAACACTTATTGAGAAAGGAGCGTTTTTAAATGAAATAAGCTTTATAAAGTTTATTTTGGTGAATTTTACGGTTATGTCATTAATAAAAAAAAAACTCATTCATCATTTTATGCTATCTACCGTAATTGATACTACTATAATATAATATATTCCCTGCATTTTAAAAATTGGAAGTTTATTTAGCACCAGCAGCTTCATCAGATTTTATTTTTAAAATTATTAGTGACAAGCAAAAACCATTGGTTGATTTGTGATGAATGACTAATCTCGAATTATATTTTTCTTTGTATAAAAAGTAATCAACAATTTAACAATATCCCACTGATAAAGCAATATCTGATGTATTCTTGTATGTAAACTTCATGTATTTCATTATAATATCTTCAGGATTAACAAAATGAACACATCAACATACGGAGAAATTGATCTTTTGAATAAAATTTCTTTTTATATTCGAACTTATGTTTATGCAACAACTGGTCTACTGCTATCAGTAATAAATATACCGCTATTTATGGCAATAATCATTAACAGAAACTTCCGGTAGATCTATCCGAAATAAAATTTTTGTTTAGAAATTAAAATTTAGAAAGTAAATTAAACTTTTTTCAATGATAGACAGTCAATATGTTGTGTTATAGTTCGCATTTTGAAAAATAAATTTATTTGATATGAGTTAATGATAAATTTTTTAAAATAAAATAAATTGAATATATTTTGAGTAAATTTGGCAGAAAATTAGAAGGGAGTTAAGTGGAATGGAAATTGGTAGTAATAATGAAATTTCAAGAAGACATTCAATGCTATAGTTGACATTATATCATTGTAAAATGATAATTTCAGTATTTACTATTTTATTCTTTCATTCGTGTTTATTCATGGCGGTATCACTGGTCTTTTAATTCTGTCTTATGCGATTCGCATTTTCTCTAAACCGTATTTGCTAAATGTAGCGATTTCGAATAAGAATTGCATATTTCAGGTAAATCACAATAATTTTTTTTGAAAGGCTTTCGGAATATTTGAAAATTAAAATGCAATATTTTTTTTTTAATAATTTAATGTTATATTGAAGTTACACTTGAAAGAAGTTATAATTGCAGCACAGAAATAAAGCTAACATTTGTTTACTTGTTTTTTTTGTTTTGTCACATAAGTTGTGACAACAGAATTTAAGAAGTAATATTAAAAAGAAAAAAGGTAAAATTTTTTGAATCCAGTAATGTAGAAATGTTCATAAATATTATTTCATTTACTTTTCTTTTTCGTCTATGAAATTTTTCACTAATTTTAATTTTGTTTAATAAAAGTTTTATTTATATTTTACTGATTCTTCGATTCATTCAAATTTTCTGTCGGTTTTTTTTTTTTTAGCAATAGTTTTTTTTTTTTTTCTGTTGCTTAACCAATTAAAGATAAAATGAATTCAAATTTTGTTATTAATTCAATCATACTATAATTACAGATTAGCACAGGCCTTATGCAAATGAAATTATTAAATGCATTTGGCTTACTAGCAAATAGCATTGACCGATTACTTGTCGTAGCTTATCCGATTTATTATTTTCGATCTATTCGAAAATTAAACACAATTTTATTGATTGGCTTGTATATTATATCACTTTCTATTGCACTGTTAAGTATTATTATCACTCAATTAAGCCCAGATAAAATGACTGGAAGCAATTGCGCGTAAGTGTTCATATTAAATTGAGACTTTTTAGAATAATATAATTTAAATTGTCATGAAGAATTTAGCTATAAGTAATATCATACACTAATTAGCGTGTTAAATACAAATCTTATAGATCATACACTAAGTAACTAAAGACTTTATTTTTATGCATATTTAATTGTGATATATGTTGCAATTACCATAATAAATTTTTATTTTGCTATTATCAACATCAAAATAAAAACGAAAACACTGATCGATGATCAGTCCGTTATCGTAAATTAACACTTAATTTTCAGTCATCAAAAAGCACTTGATCCAAAGGCATTATTTTTGGTGCAATCATTTAGCACATCAGGTTCTTTAATGAGTATTGTTATAATGATATGTATTGTGCACTGTAACAAACGGTTAGCTTATTAATTCTCAAGACTTAAAAAAGTGAATATTTTTAAAGTGAAATTAAGTGCAAAAAAGAAATTTATTGTTGAACTCATCTACCTAATTAGAAAATCATCATAACAGTAGTAATTTAGGAGCTGAGACAGTAATATTGAATTTCCTGATCGAGAAATTTGTCTAAGCAACCAAACGGTTTTAAAAAAATTGTCTTCCCATAAAAAAATTAAAAAAATACCAATTGATCAAAGAAATACTTAGATAATTTGAAATTTTTCGTGGAAACATAATAATGCTACTATTTCGTCAAATTAAAATAATTTTAATTAATAAATTAAAAATGGTTTCAATAAACAAATTCTCTTATTTTATTATATTTTCACAAAATTTTACCAATAATTTTAGGCACTTCAATAGAATTGCAAATAACGCACAGAGTGTAGGACGAAATTTGCAAAATTTTTTGAAGAAGCAAAAAGAATTCACATCAACAGCACTCATTTCCTGTATATTTACATTTTGTAATATTTTTATTCCATTTTAGAATTCATTCTTTTCAAAAATTCATTAGTTATAGTACTTTAAAAATTATTTCTTTTTTTAAATTTGAGCGAATTTTGCTTTGTTTATTAAGTTGGTAGAGATGCGTTCACAAACATTAATATATATTTTACTTTCATAACAATTATTTACTGATAAATTTTGATAATAGTAGAAATGAAAACATAAAAGTTAATTTATAAGAGTATACAAATAATTTTATCGAAATTCTGATGTGCTGAATTGTAATTAAGACAACAATTTTTGTCTCCTAGCATTTCAAATGGTAGCAATGCGAATTTTATTCAAAAGATATCAGATAAAAGCATAAAGTGTAGCAATAAATTGAAACTTAGACTGAGAAACAAACGATTTTCTGTTTGCTTTTCAAATAAATACAAAAATTACAGTTTTGCATGTTACACCATCACTGATTCAAACGATATGCAGCAAAATGGATTATCAAATTTGCCTTCACATTGGTTTGTATTGTAATTTATTATCATATTTGAATTCTTTTAATATGCCGATGCTATTTCTTTATCGTCAAGACGATGTCCGTGAAAAGATTTTCAGTTTAATATGCTATCGTTTAACAATTCGTACACCTGTAAATCGTATCACTTCTAACAATAACAAAATGACATCTATTAAATAATTCATGTAGTATCATTGCTTCGGGTAAAATTTTTGAAAATAAATTTTAAATTTCAAATATATTTGTTTAAAGCAGAAATACTTAAATTAGAAAAGTGCTTGTTAAATTACAAAGCATTCAATTCCAATTATTTGTAAACATTGTAATTTGTTGCATCAGAATTTTGTTTTTTTTCTTTCTAAATAAAGCATAATTTGTATGATAAATGACTTATTCTGTTATATATCTGAACAAAAGCAAATTATTTTTGAATATAAAATTTATTTTTCGAATTATTTTTTTTTTTTTTTAATGTGCAGTAAATAGTTTTATGTTTGAATGAATCATGAAGTAAACTTTACATGTTTCATGCATTTGAAAAACAATACGTCACATTTTGAGAAATCTTTTTACAAATCTAATAAATAAATTAATAATCGTTTGAAAATTATTAAAAAACTTTCAAAAACTAAAAATAAGAAGAGAAATTGGTATCATATCTAGCGTTAAAAAACAAAATAATTAATCCATTTCATCTTTCGTTTCAAAAAAACTTTATTCATTCTACAACTTAAAATTAACATTGCTATTTAATAATAAGAAAATTGTCGTTAATTTAATGAAATCATAAATATATGATGATTGAATAACAGAAATGCAAAGCAGAATTTCAGCTATTTCATTCGACTGCGACATTTCTCGACCAGAATTACATTAACGAGAATGTGAGCAATAATCAACAAATGATAAATGCTTCCTAACATCGTTATGATTATGAGAAAAAAATTTTTCTCGAAGTTTTCATTAATAATTAATTATAATAAAATAATAAAAAATGTAAGGAAAAATTTGAAATACTTCACGCAACATTTCTCAATCGAAGTTATTAATTATTATTAAGAATATAAGCAATAATCAACAATAGCAAATAACTCATGAAATATCATACGAATGTCATCACAAATGGAAGAGAACGAATTTTCATAGAAATTTTTAATACCACAGAGTATTTAGTAATAAAAAATAATCTCTTCATCAACAAATATAATATTTCTTATTGAAACAATTAATTTTTGCTCGTATATTTGATAACATTTAACCGTCTTATTTAGTTGTATTATTTAGTGCTACTAATAATATATAATGACTTCAGCTTATTTCAAAAATCTCTCGAAAATAATGAATTATCTCGCTTTTCATTAATAGTTAATGCGTGCTATTTGATAATTAATAATAATGGTCGTAGATTTTCTAATGATTATTTCTGATAATGAAATGTCGCAATAAACAATGACTGATTTGGATTACGGTAATATTAAAATTTCTGTTTAAATTATATTCGTCAAGTGATTCTAAATAGATTCGGCGAAGAAATAAATTTATTTTACTTGTTATGCTTCACTTTTAATCATTTAACGAAAATTTCTGAAAAAGTGATAGTCACCCAAATGTTAAATTTGATAAAAGGATTGGTATTTGCTTATTTTTTGCACTTCATTTTCATTTTGAAGCTAAGAATTCTGCATTAAAAGCTGATGATTCAAAATTCTATATTATACGAGAAAGTGCGAGATTCCAGAGCTAATCCAGAATTTTACATTGAAAAGAGATAGTCCAAATCTTATATTAAAAAGAGAAGGTCCAGAATTTCATGTTATAAGAGAAAGAAAATTCTTTAATAATTCAAAACTTTGTATTGAAAAGATTAATGCGTGACTCTAGGCCATCTTCAGAATTTTGAATTCCCAGCTTTTTTTTTAATTATAGAATATTTCATCTTGTTTCCAATGTAGAATTCTGGACTACCTCCAAAATTCTGGACCATCTCTTTCTGGTGTAGAATTCTAGATAGTTTTTAAGTTTCCGGATTGTCTCTTTAATGCAGAATTGGACTATCTGTTTTCAACACAAAATTCTATGTGTTAGATATTCCTTTCTTTGAAATCTATTAATTCTCCAAAATATTTATTAAAAGTTCATTCTTTTGTCGTCTTTTTTCCTTCTTTTTTTTTTTTGCTTTACATGACATGTTTAAAGCTGAAAAGACAAAAATGAAATATCTAAAAAATGAAATACTTAAAACTGTTCATTCGCATATGAATGTTATTTAATACTTCAAATTGTTCATTATGGACGATATCATTATCCATAATTCAAAATTATTTTCAAATTTGACCTTTTGAGCAACATTACATTTTTTCCTGGACATGATTTTCCATCACTTCGATTTTGATCTGATTTGAACCGGCCATGAAACTAGTTCTGAAAACCGATTCTATGTACTGTCCCAGATTTAATCCACCCCGATCCCGGTTTTGATTTGACTGGATTTTGTTCGTCTTAGTCTGGTCCTGATTCACTTAATCCGGTCCTGGCGACATTCCAATCTGACGGATCTCTGATCATATTCCGAATCTGACCCTATTTTGATCAGGTTCTAATATGTTTTTTCTGGACTAAACCCAGTTCTGAACTGTTTCTGACCCGATTTTGCTTCGACATTAATCCCGGTCTGATTCAATTCTGTTTGTTTCAATCCGATTTTGGTTTTGACTAAATCCAATAGTTTCCCACATGGTTCGGACCCAGTACCTGATCCAGTACCTGATCCAATTTCAGCCAGCCTTCACTTTTATTTGGACCTCATCCGGCTGTCGATTTAGTTTCTGGTCAATTATAAACCAATTACATTCTAGTCAGAAGCCGCTCCTAACCCAGGTTCAATTCAGTTTTGGTTCGGTGATTCCGTCCTTCTGATTCCGATTTAATTCTATTCGATTTCGATCCAGTTCTGTTAATAGTTTATTGTTCTTTTTGCTAAGTAGGAAGCCATCAAGGAATGATCTGAAGAAGTTATCGAATAAATTTGCATTTGAAACTCTAGCTTTTTGCTTTTTGCGAATTTTGCTTATTCATTTCATTGATTTTGAAAACTCCTTACAGCGCATCCATCATGCAACAACTTTTTCTACAATAGCAATAAAATAATAACGACAATAATAATAGTACAAAAATAATAATAATAATAATGATAGTAATGAATAAGACAATATTATTAATAATGATAATAATGGTTAAAATAATAATAATAACAATAACGATAATAATTATAACAAATGAGTGAGGACCGCATTGAAATACTAAGTAGACATGAAAATAATTTACCAAAGTTTTGAAATTATTGTCAAAAAAATGTAATGGAATATAGAAATCATCATTCAAAATGAGCATCTCCAGTAAAAACATTAGAAAAAAAATGCTTAATTGCTTAATTTCAACTACGCAAATATGAATATAAGCAATCTAAATTAATTTCGAGCTTCTTATTATAGGCAAAAGTAAAATAGCACTCTTCGTTAATTTTAAAGTTAATAATTCATCAATCCCTTCAAACAGAAGTAATTGCAACAGCACCATTTCAGTCTCAAACTTCCGGAACGACTATCACCGAAATTTGACTACGAAGTTTAGTCAACAAAGATTGATAAATATCCAAATGCAGACGGGCATTAATTTTAAACTAATATCTAGGAAATATTTTCAATGATAATTTCAATACTAATTCATCAATCCCTTCAAACAGAAGCAATTGCAACAGCACTTTGTGAACCATTTCAGTCTCAAACTTCCAGAACAACTATCACCGAAGTTTAGTCAACAAAGAAGAAAGTTAATTCTTAGCTCGTATATATTTGCTTGCGCATCTGACTTGGAATGCAATTAAATGAATACACTCATATTATGCAACTCAGCTACAATAAGATAAAGAAAAGTAAATTTGATATGGCAGTGATTTCTAGTTGTGATATTTATAAGGAGTCTTACAAATATCACATAAAAGTCATCAAATATTCTCACAGATCTGTCCACACAATTAAATTTCAAAATATTTCAGAAATTAGTTCATCTTAAGTCCTTTACATTTATCATACCATTGTATTTAAGGTAACTATTACAGTTCGTTTCCGAGAATATGGTGTTACACATTGGATATTTATCAATAAAATCAACCATGAAAATAATATTTCTTGTAAAGATTTCTTATCATTTCAGTAAATTATGGCAAAAAAATTGATAAATGAAATGTATTTTGCTGATTCTTTAATTATTTTTTTTTAGTAAATACTAAGAAAAAACACGAAAACTTTTGTTTAAATGAGAATAATTTTGTTTTCCTTCAATAATTTACTCACGAAAACAATTCGTGCCGCATAAATATGAGTAAATATTTTTATTGAACTTAAATTTCCAATAAACCAGCTTTGCATGTTCTAATGCTGTTATAATAATTTAGATGAGATATGTTAAGATTTGAATGGAACTTAAAGATGAATGAATTGCTAACGGATCACCGACAACGATACAGCATTTACACTTCTTTGGAAAACAAATAATATAGCCATGATTAGTTAAGAGCCCAATTGAAAATATTTGTCGTTGATTAATGAAATAACCGTAAATTATCAAAAAAATAAAAATTTTTGAACTACAAGTTTTATTGAATGTTTTATTACAAATCTTTAACTGAGTGCAATATTATTCAAAATTATTTTAAATCGTAGAATTTACTGTTTGTATTACTTCAAATTCAGATATTTTGTAATTTTGTGAAAACGAGTGAATGCTTTTGATGTCTAATAGCTCAACTATATATTTCTTTACTTAATTGACTTAATTGTAATTGAGGATGTTATACTTTATGTTTTCATCTTTTTAATATAGTAGTTATATGGTGGTCTCATATATTCTAAAACTTCACACCACAAATCGCTTAAAAAAACTAACAAGAAATATTTATTTTATAAAATTGATCAGAAAATTTATCTCATCCTTTTATATCAATGGATCTTGTTAGCGAAGTAACAACTCAAAGTGCAAAACATATTGTATATAAGGAAGGAGCATTGCTATCATTAATAAGCTATGTTTTGCGCACTTATGCTTATTTGGTTATTGGTACAGTACTCGCACTGGTCAATATACCCATCTTTTTCCTTGTGGTAACTCGTAAAACACTAAGGTTAACCGATTTATTTCTTAATAGAAATTTAAGAAAATAGCATCGAACATAGTTTAATAAACAGTTTTATTGGAAAATTTTTGCAATAAGAAAAAAAAAAACAAACAAATTATTACTTCAACTATGGTTAAATCACTCGGAAATAATATGAAAGAGTTGAAATATTTAGGAACACCTATTTAGTTCTTGCATTTGTATTCCTCAATAATGGATTTACCGGAATCAGTTCGATATTACTGGGAATGAAACGATTAATTGATACTGCTAGTGGAGAACGGAGTATTGATCATCACCACTGTGTGTTGAATGTTCGTTAATTTTTGTTTCTATTATCTGGATAAATAATAAATGCAAGCAACTATTTAGTACTTTAATCAATAATTAATTAAGGAACAAAATTTCAGGTGCCTCTTCTTCTTCTCACAGCTTATTCTTTAAATGGATTAAGTTTGTTAATGAACAGTATGGAAAGGTTTTCTGTTGTAGCATTTCCAATATATTACTATACTCACAGTACACGAATATGTTATTCAGTAATTGCTGCCCAATATACGATTACTATCATTGCAATAACTACTACCACTGTAGCAAGTTTCATTGAACCAGCTCGACGTATATCTAATTTTTGTTTGTAAGTGACGACAAGTAAATTACTTTGAACAAATGGACATTCTGTTACTAAATATATGTTTTTTTTTACCGATTACTAGCTATCATAATGAGATATTTTGCAAAATAAGTTATGATTTTTTTAATTTTCAAAATTAACAACATAACTAACTCTTGCAGATTACAAAGTGTATATTCGCCCATTTTTTATAAAGCATTGATACTAATGACCTCTACTACTTCATTGCTGAGTATTGCTTTTATGGTCACCATAGTTGTCATCCTGAAAAGGTATGGCTTTAAAAATTTGTCACACTAAGTCTTCACTTAGATGAGCATAAAATTTATGAGAATATGTAAGACAAAACATAGCACAGACTTCTATAATTATTTCTGTAAGTTATCGTTTTTTCAACAGAAAAAAAATTCAAAATGTGACAGAAATTTTAATCACAACGTTATTACTTTTAGGAAGTTTGGCGCAAAATTCCTTTCAAGTCATTCGCATAACCGCGATTTATCGCAGTTTCTCAAAAATCAAAAACGATACACTCAAACAGCATTGATCTCTTGCTGTTTCACATTTTGTATGTTCTTTCTCTGCAAACGATTCTGATGAAAGCTAAGTTTCTTCAATAATAATGAAACAGAAATAAGTTTTCGTTGTGGTTCTCTGTGGTTAAACTATGCTTAAGCAGTATTTGTTTGATAATGAGACTTACGGACGATTGTTGTTTATATGTATTTTTAATTCTGTAATTCGAATTTTTATCTTATTGCAGTCCTTGCTGTGGTACCATCAATGGTGCAATATATTTACATATTGGATCCTACGTCAAGATCACGCACCATTGTGATCGCTTGCGTATATTTACCATTTCTGAATTCCTTCAACATGATAACCTTATTCATATGGCGTCAAGGCGATTTTCGGCGTGCAACAATTTACAGTTTGAAATGGCTATTCTGTGGACGGAAGCATCAGATTCAACCGACCACTGTTGTGGAGTTTTGAGAATGAAGAAATTAGGCCATTTTTTTCAATAGTTGATTGGGATTATTTTTTGACCTAATCGCTTTTTGTTTCTACGGCAATTTTTATTTTATAAATGTTTCTAATTTCTTAATGAAAAAAAATTTTGATTGATAATTGACCTTTAAAACTGCATGTTATAACTCTGATGACAATTTCGAATGTTTTATTTGAATTATTATAAAGTTATCAAATTTAGTACATAAAACCTCAGCAAGTCAATTATATAATCAGTTATATAACTAATCACTGTAGATAGAAAATATAACCGAAAGGAACAATGTTCTCACTATCGAAATAAAGTATTAGCATTTAGCTTTCATCAATGTTAACCAACTATGCAAACCAATTTTGAGGTAAATGATCTATAGACTACAAAAGGCGTAAACCAGTGTGTTTATATTTCATAGCAGAAATTTCAATGCAGTCTGTTGCTTTTTTCTGTTATGATTTAAACATATAGCGATCAAAAAGGCAAAAGTCTTTATTTCAACCAATTATGGTGAAACTTGTAGCTTGGAGTCGAATTGGACTTACATATGTTCCAAGTGCTTTCCTTGATTGTTTTTGTAGTTGGTACGAATGCGCTCATTTAAACTTTTTTTATAACAATTTTATTCGCTAACAACCATAATACATAACAACAGTGCACTGATAATTTTGTAGAGTATCTACAAATACGACAAAGGAAATGTCGCGAAATTCTAATCCCGCGAACCTCCAAATAACTTCCAAATTATATCAAATAAAATTGTATTAATCCATAATACTAAAATTCGTTGTAATTGAACGTTAGAAATGTAAAACTGTTCCAAATTATACATCACGTAAGCAGTTATTATTTCAACACTCACCTTCCATTGTAGTTGAGCTTATCTGCTTGTCTATACGTTTTCAACTGATAACAAAGGGTATGTGCATTGTTTAACATGTAAAACTTACTTCTTTGTTCCAAATCAAATTTGCTTACAATGTCGAAAGATTGTATAGGTCTTCTAAACTGATAGTCATCCTTTGGGAGGAAGCTACAATATTAAAACCCATCTCTTACTATATTAAGAGATCAACTGATAGCTTCTTACTCAATAATCATGCTCTTTTTGCAAGTCAATATCCATTATATAAGGATTCAAATCCTTTGTCTCAATCAGTTTTTACCAGTTTTTTCTTTATCAGTAAGCTACAATTCGGCTACTCTCCCTCACGCACAATTCAACTCATTTTCCTTCTCATTTATCCATTTTATCTCATTCGTAATTATCAATATTGTTGCTATAGTTATAGTTGCTAGCAAATAAAATCGTTATAACAGACCTATCACTCAACGCATTCGTCTATACCAACTACAATAACAAACAAGGAAGGTTTATGAGCATACAGAAGTTCAATTCGACTCTAACTCACAAGTTATATACAGACTGAACTCCCATATTTCACGACAGGAAACGAATAAATTGACGAAAACTTAAAGGATTTAAATAAACTGAATTAAATGAGTGATAGAAAGCAGCCGAACCATAATTTGCTGATACAAAAATCTGACAGGACAGAGGATTTAAATCCTTAGATACAGTGGGCACTGACTTGCATTACATTGAGCAAAGAGCTGTGATGATCATTGCTCTATCTAGTAAGAGATGGACCTCTTTAAGGCTTAAACATTGTTAGTTTCTGATAAGAATGACCACTGGACTAGAAAACCACAAACAAGTTTGGTTTGGAACAAAGGGGAAATTTTTAAAATATTGAATAACGCACATGCCTTTTGTTAATGGTTGAAAAATTCTAGACAAGCAAATAAGCTCAACTACAGCGGGAGATGAGTGTTGGAATAATGTTTGTTTACATCATGCAATTTGAAACAGTTTTATATTTCTTTAAAGAATGTTCAATTAAGACGTTTTAGTATTATGAACTGACGCAATTTTATTTCATATATTTTGTAACTTATTTGGAAGTTTGCGAGACTCATTCCAAGTTTCATGACAGTCGCTAGGGTCAGTTTTAGCGACAGCAAGCTTCGATCCGACTTGTCTCAGTCCACGCTCCATTGAAATAATTTTTCACCTGCGGTTACTCCCAACCAAATTCTCTGTTATGAACTATCTGTAATATAATTTAATACTATTTAATAATGCATATAACATCGAGTAATAGAGTATTCGACGATTCGTTTGCATTATTTAACCATTTACAAGGATTTTATCATTAGCCAAACAAAATCCTTTTTTAAATTCCTTATATAATAGGCGCATGACTACAGTGAATAAAAAATCATTGTTGGGTGTTTTTTTATCTTTTATAAAGTGAGAGTCGGTTTTTAACATTACGTCATTTGTCTACAAAAGTGATCATCAGATTGGAAGATCTCTATATTGCAAATTTATATTTTATAGCAGAAATTTGAATGCACTCTGTTGTTGCTTTTTTCTGTTACGACTTAGATATATGGTAATTTAATTTTAATATATTTTCATCTCTAATTTAAATATATATTTTTTTAAATTTTTTTTAAAAATTTAATTTAAATATATTTTCAGCAAACATCTCTAATTGAACTAATTACCTTATATTATCCGTTCAAAAAGCAAGCGAAAATGTTGTCATGCTGATTTAAGTTCATTAACAGCATTTCGGCATCTGTTCGATCTCTTTCCTCTTTCAACCGTTTTTCGAAATTAATAGTTCAAAAATTTCTTTTAAATAATTCATGCATATTTATTAATGCTCCGCTGCGATCAGTTACTGAAAATGATTATTATGATTAATTATTTCAATAAATTGAAGATGAACGGGTTGCGAGCTCGCTTTTTTCAATTCTTTTTTTTTTTTTTTCACATCGAAGCATTAAATTTTTGAACCAATTAACTGATGAAATGGTTCTCACTGCATGCTACAGAATAGTGGAATCACTTATTGCTGATTGATTGATTGAAGAGGAAGCGGAAAAAATTGAAAAAGTTACAATGCAATAAGTCTAAATTTCGAAGAATTTAATTTAGCTAATTAGTTATTTTGAATAACTAATTAGCTAATTTAACCAATTGTGAATTTATATGATAATAAAATTGAAAAAAATTTGCTCAAATTGAAACAATTTTCATTTTTGCTTGCAATAACTTTATAAATTGCAGAATCTTGAATTACTTGGTGCATCAGCTAATTGAAGATAAGTTGTTACAGAAGGTATAGTGATAAATTCATTTATAAACAATTCTTTTTTTTTTGACAACAGCTATAATTAAAATTAAATTTATAAATCATTTTTGTAAATTCTACAAGAGGCGAAGAATGTCAGAAGAAAAACTTATTAATTATTTTTTTTTTATGGCGTAATTTTGTATAAATTGATTAACAATTTATTTACATATTTACATTTGTATATTTTGATGAAAAGAATTAGCATCAAATGCACTGGTTTTAAAAAAAGAAGAAAGAAAAATGATAGTATATTGGTGATGTAATTTTAATGAAGTAATTAGAAATCTAAAATGATTAAATTTAGAAAATATCAGGAAGACAATTGCAAGGTGTCAAGAAAACAGTCGAACATTTGATTGGAGGTGGTATTATAGTTTGGAATTTTAACAGGTGATAAATTAGAAACAGCACAAAGTATTGGCAATTCATGTGGTTTAAATTGATCCATTCACACCCATTTTGGTATATTTCGAGTTATTTAATTTTATTTTAATGTTGAATTATTCATTCTCAACAAAAATTGTAAATAAATTTAATAAGTTTAAGTAAATTCAAATTGTAAATAAACTATTGATAAATCAATGGATGAAATTTTTTCACTTACAAATTTATCATATGAAATTAATATTATTATTTAAGCAAAAAAAAAAAAAGATTAAATTATTATTTAAATATTACAAAGAGCAATTCAATTTGATTATTTAGGTACTTGGCGAAAAAAATGTTGAAGAAACAGCTAACAAAATTAACATATATCTTGATAATTTTGCAAATAAAAAAATTAAAATCAGCAATAAGTGATTCCACTATTCTGTAGCATGCAGTGAGAACCATTTCATCAGTTAATTGGTTCAAAAATTTAATGCTTCGATGTGAAAAAAAAAAAAAAAAAAAATTGAAAAAAGCGAGCTCGCAACCCGTTCATCTTCAATTTATTGAAATAATTAATCATAATAATCATTTTCAGTAACTGATCGCAGCGGAGCATTAATAAATATGCATGAATTATTTAAAAGAAATTTTTGAACTATGGATTACTAGGGGAGAGAGAGAGAAAGAGAGAGAGAGAGAAATAGAAATTTCAGTATGAATGATTTGAAAGAGTAATACTTACGTAACTACCGCATTTTGCATTTCGGCATCTGTTCGATCTCTTTCCTCTTTCAACCGTTTTTCGAAATTTTCTGCTTGTTTTTCAAAATTTAAACTTAAACTTTTCCAGTGGTGATATAAAGCATCCAAACGATCCAGATTTCCTGATTTCTGCTGTCTTTTATCACCATTTGCTACACTGTTTCTGAAATAAATAACCTTGAAGAGTTTTTTCTAGGGATTCTATATGATCACGAATAGCACAAAAACATGAAAAGAAGCCAACATAGTTGATCGAACGAAAAGACCATTGTAATATATCTGCTTATGATTTATTGAGAAGGGAACTATTAGCTCAAGAATAAAGTTACAAAAATTCATTACAACTCAAAAAAAAAAAGGAATACTAAGCTTCAAGGTATAAAAGATACCCATCATCTTCAGCATCTATATTTAAAGTTGAAATTATTTGCTCGTCGTTGTTTTCATCAGCACCTCCAGGAGAGAGAGTGAAGAAAAGAGGAGGGAGAGAAGGGAAAGAGGGAAAAAGAAGAGGAAAGGGGGAGATAGAGGGGACAGGAGAGAGGGAAGAGAGGAAGATGACGTAGGACGGAGGGAGGACAGGAGGCAGGAAGAGGAGAAGAGGGAGAGCAGGAGGGGAAGGATAGAGAAGACAGGAGAGAGAGGAGAAGAGGGAAGAGAAAGGGGAAGAGGAAGGGGAGGGAGTGAAAGAAGAGGAGGGAGAAGAGGGAGAGGAGAAGGGGAGGGAAGGGGAGGAGGAGAGGGGAGCGGAAAATTCAACTCACCGTTCTCCAGGGGAGCATGTTTGCGATACTGGCAGCAAACAGTAACCGATATCAGAAACTGATCAGATCAAAAATCCCGAACTTTCTATGACCTACTTCCCGCTTTGCAGGTAGAAGAACATAACCACACAAATATCGATCAGTCTAGAATAGGAACAAATTTTGACGAAATAAACAGATGCTGAACGGAATCGATGATTACGTGAAGTGAAGTTCGTGGGACCCACGTGGGTTAGTGGGCAACACTAAGTGATATGTATGATATGTTTAACAACAGTAGAAAAGTAATCACAACACTGGATAGAAATTCAAGCACGAAGAAGTGACAAACAAATGTCATAATTTAGAGCCAATATTTCAACCAGTTAGTCATATTTGTCATGGCCATGATAAACTATCTACACAAAATAATTCTCTTCTGGTTCGTATAAATGATATTAGTCATCAATAATATGTGCAAATGTACATAAAATAATCCATGAATTAATCCTCACAAATTGAATGCATTGCGATTAATTGTCCTGGAAATTCTAGTACAAACATCATATTGTGTCTGTTTCAATGCGACATTTGTTTACTATTGTTTGACAAATAGTAGAATTTCAAATGACGTAAAATTTCATCCCACATTTACGCATTGTATATAATATATCTGAGGAAAATTTTTAAATCTTCAATAAGATTTCAAGCCAAATGATTAACTGAGAATAGCCAAATGATCAACTGAGCATATTTTTATGTTTTGTAACGAATATAAGTTGTTATTTTTATGCGTTCAATAAATGATCCTTATTAAGGAAGTTTTTATTTTATTTCTTCATTTACTATTAGTAAAATAGATTTCGGTGAAATCGCTGAAGTAATGAAATCTGATTGACATTCATCTTCACGATATGTTTTTGATAATTATCAGAGAAATGAATACTGATTGATGCCAATTCATTTTTTTTTCCACTGATATTTTACGCAAGTATAGTATCAATTTCTACGTGACCATAATAGGAAAAAACATGGGAATATGCAGATAAAGTTGATTCAGCGAGAGTATGTTCAATTATTTATTTTCAGTTTTTTTTTTTTTTTTTGAAAATATGACAATATAATAGTAGCATTTATCTTATGTAAGCAAATCTTCATTGTACAACCACAGTTTTTTGCACAGCTTTTAGCATTTGAAATGCATACAAAATGAAGAAATTTATTAGAAATATTTCAAAAAAAATTCACATTGGTTAAGAGATATATGCTAAATATTAATTGTATAAGATAGATTTTATCAGTGTTTTCTCCTAATCTGTCATCTCTCTTATACATTCATACAAAATAAAAAAATTTACTAGAAATATTTGGGAAAAAAAAATTCACATTGGTTAAGAGATGTATGCTAAATGTTAATTTTGTACAAGACAGATGTTATTAGTGTATTTCCATGACTAAATATTTCCATGACAAAATTTCTTAATTAAATTTACATTCAAATTTCATTTTATATTTATGAAAAATTTCGGATCAAGCTTAAGCGAAGTGGTACAAGATACAATAAAATGAGATAAAATGAAACAAACTGTGAAACGCATTCGGATTTTATTTTATATTTACGAGCTTTGAATATTAGTAAAAAAAGTGCCGGTAATGTTAATGAAGACTGTGGGTGAACAAGGCTTTGTCTACTATATCACTGTGCAATGACAGAAGAAAATATTCATGAATATTAAAATAGAGATAGACAGTAAGATTACTATGAAAATAGATGAGCCTGTTATAATGAGAATGGAGAAGACGAGAATAGCTTTCTTATCCTCTTCAAAATGCAAGGCTTGTGTACATTCATTTTACAATATTTATAAAGATAAAACTAACTACTTCATTTCTAATTAAAAAAATTTTTTTTAAATCAAAATTAAATTTAAATGGTATTTATAAATTTTATTTGGTTTTAAATTTTTCCATGACAACTGTTTTTATTTCTTTCCCCATTTTTAATTTTTTAATTATTAATTTATAAATTTAATTCAGTTGCAATTTAACTACTTTCGTTTTTAATTTAAAATCACTGTCATTTTGATGTATTTAATGAACTTAGTTTAAATCCAAAAAAAATTTTTTTATTAAATCAGATAAAGTAAAATCCATTTAATATTTTATAATCTCCGTACAAAGCTTAATACTTATGAAATTTAACAGAAAAAATAACAGTATAATCACTAAAAAAAAAAAAAAAAAGACATGATAAAAACTAAAATTATAACAAAAGTACTTTAAAAAATCATAACCTAAATTTCAAAAAAATAAGATAAAACAAAAAACAAAGAATTATAAAAATCAAAAAAAAAAAAATAATTATAATAATAAAAACAACCAGCTAGACTGAAAGAACATCAAATAACTATGCACAAGTTAGAGAACGTGCAAAACATCAAAATCGCCGCCAGAAACTCTTTTACTCAGTAATACCATCTAGGGAGTGATTTCACAATAAGTAGAACAAAGGAATTTTTCTAGAAGTGTTTGATAACATTAAAGTTGCCGTAATATTTCGAGTGATCGCCAATGATCATTCCTTTATTTTTGTAACTGAAGTGCATTCCTTTTTTTCTTTTCTTTTTTTCATAAATTTTATGACTTTTTCTATGATCTTAACAACACATTGTATATGTAGACAATGTAAATAAATCATTTGTAAAGAAAACCGGAATGCAGAATCGAAATGACTGACGACCAAAAACGTACATTAAACAGAAATAATAAAAGAAAAAAACACGAGCTATGAGAAATTATAAAATGTTTTATAAAAAAACCAGTAACAATCTGAGATATTAATATAATACCTAATATACTACCAAAATTTCATACATAATTCAAAGTAAAACTAGCAGGAAGAAAAACTAAAAAAACCAAACAAATTTTGGAAGACATCTTCTAATCCAAAAAAAGAAATTTTAATTAAACTAAATTCAAGTTAAAAGTATGATCTATCTAATATTTATAATCCCCGTATAAAGCTTCCACATCTTAAATTAATACTAATCAAACTTAATAAGAGAAAGGAAAAAAAGAAAAAAAAAACAATATACCAGTCAAAAAACATTGTAAAAATTATAACCATAACAAATACTTAAAAAATTATAATTGAAATTAAGAAAAACAAACATAATCAAAGAAAATAAAAAGCAAAAAAAATTATAATAATACAATTCTAATAATAATAAAAACAATCAGAAAGACTACGAAAGCACCAAAAATGTTCCAAACATTTCTGGAAAATTCCTTTGTTCTACTTATTGTAAAATCACTCACAGACAGTATCACTGAGTGACAGAACTTTCGGCAGGGATTTTGATGTTTTGCACGTTTCGGTGCTCGCTAATCTATACGTAACATTTTTCTTCTTTGTATATTTGTCTTTTACTGGTCTTTTAATTGTGGCCTTTCGTATGTTTTGAAGGAATGATTTAAATTTTATCATTGTACAATCATTATTTAATGAATTTTTAAAAATTTTTGTTTTTTTTTATCATGATTTTTCTATTTCAATTTAGGCTGTAATTTTATTATTCTTATTTTTATAATGTTTTTTGAATGGTTCATTTCATTCCGTCTCATTTCATCCCAGTTTTTCACGAATACAAAATGAAATCTGAATATGAACCTTTTTCATAATCTTCCATTTTATTCACTTATAGTCTGATCCGAAGAGATATTCTTTTTTCATATGTTTTGAAGAAATAATTTAAATTTTTTCATTGTAGAAACGAGAAATTTTAGCGGATTGTACTGAGAGCTCACAATTTATCATGAATTTAATATTAATTGAATGACGTTCCCATTATGATACCAGTTAGTTCCAAAAAATTTGCATAATTTGATTTCTTTTGCTTGATCTTTTTTAAAAGGTTATTTCATTTAAAACAGATTTAATTTTTAGACAATTTCTAAATGCTTCTTCTCTTCTTTCAGTCAATAGTATTATATATTATTAAGGCAAAAATTTTTTTTTTCAAAAGCAATTTTGTATCTAAATGTTTCCAAGGGAATTTTAATTCTAGATTTTTCCATGACATTTTTTATTCCTTAATTGGATTTGCACTCATATTTTATATTTATGAAGGATTTTTGATCAACACAGCAACGATTGATTTAATTATTTATTATTGCTACCATTTGATTTTGCTATGCATGCATTTATGTATGCAGTAATAGAACAGATTGATGAATAATTTTAGTATGGTAGTAAATAGTAATAATAACAATAACATGAATAAACGGTGTGATATTCGTTGGTGTCTATACTTTATCCAAATTGTCGCCTAACCGTCGATAGTAATGAAAATAAACCAATTAAAAGTAATAATTGTTTTATTAATTTTGTTTGTATTATCAAGTAATTTTCATTCAAGCAAAATTTTTTGTGCGAATAATTTTATTTGTTTGATAAGGAATTATTTGGTGATGATGAATGGAAGAGATGATTGAATCAATGATAATTAAAACAAGAAAATCCCCTGATAAATGATATGAATATTCAATGATATGGATATTCAAAATTCGCAAATATAAAATCTGAATGAGTTCCGCGTTTGTTTGTTTAATTTTGTCTCTTTTCATTTCATTTCGTTGCATCTCGTACCACTTCGCTAAAACTTGATCCGAAATTTTTCATAAATATAAAATGAAGTCTGGAAAATCTTGGTGCTTTCCATTGGCTTATAAATTTTCATTACCTGTTAAATAAATCACTCTCTAAATCTACATTTAATAGATGCATTAATAAATACTTTGTATTTCTCGAGACTTTTTTTCTAATATAATTTTTAACTTTATTCTCAGAAAATCTTATTACATTTACATTTTGTTAATGCCCTCATACTGATTCTTTCTAAGCATAAAAATTAAATTTGCATTACTGTTTCAGAAAATCTCGACTGCATGCGATATGAGTTAGCTCCTTGTCTCAAATTAACTTGATAATAAAATTGATTTCAACAATTATCCATAAAATCTTGAATCAGTGCTATTGTTTTTCTTCGAAAAGATATGAAAACCAAAAGAGTAACATCAGTGTACTTTCATCAGTACTGAGCTATGCATTTTTTAAGTTTATCATTTCCGGATTTATCAAAAA